AATAAATTTTCACTTCAGTGTTGTATTCAATAAACTACATGAGATAGTCAACATTTTATTATAAAATGGGCTTTGAGTTAGATGATTTCACCCAGCTGTAGGCTAGTAGAAGTGTTCTAAGCAAGTTTAAGGTAGGCTAGGCTAAGCTATTATGTTTGGTAGGTTAGGTGTATCAAATGCATTTTCAATTTATGATGGGCTTATCAGAATGTAACCCATCATAGGTGGAGGAAGATATGTATTTAAATGGAAAGTAGAAAAAGTACCTTTAGAAATCTTTATCTTGGGATGTAGTGTCATACAGGTGTAGTGCAGTATTCTTAACTATTAAGTCAACACTAAAAGAAGTGTGGCTTCATTATGAGTTGTACAGATGTTATACAAGAGAATCACTAGAATGTAACTCCAATCAGGAATGACAAGTAGATAAGATTTCCCTTTTCAATTCTGGTCCATTGGAAGTGACTTCCAGGGGCTCTTTGTTGAGAAGCATACTGAAGCAGAGTTTGCACTCAGTAGGAAAGAGTTAACGATTGATTTACAACTTCCATGGAAACTTCCAGTGACCTTCACCTTTCTAAATTCAGGGGCCATTTCTCAGGCCTTATTTTAATTAATCTATTAGCAGCAGTTACCACAGTTCATCACCGTGAAGGCAATCAAAACCCTGCTGGCTTAAGAGAGATTTTGCCCCTCCCTTAACTACCTGGAAAAGTCTAAATTGGGGGGTCTTTCCCAGAATTTGAGTTATTACAAGATATAAATTTCACCTGAATGACTTATCTGTATGGCAGGGCAAACATCTGATTACTTAACAACTTTTGTACTGCCTTGTAAATTGCCCTCCTCCCCTTTGATGCCCTAGACCCCATCCAATTCCTTAGCTCAGGATGGCATATGTACCTCATTTTACCTTTCTGTCTTTGAACCTCTCATGTATGTGGGGCTCCCATAGATGCAAAATTAAATGCAGTTCTCTCCTGTTAATCTGTTTATGTCAATTTAATTCTTAGGCCATCCAGAAGAACGTTTGAAGAGTAGGGGAAAATTTTCCTTCCTTGCACTAGCCTCTGTACTCTCATTTGCTGGTTCCTCTCCCCTTCGCTCCCTTTTAGAGTTGGAGTGCTCTGAGACGGAGTCATTGTATCACTTCTTTATCCAATCTTGCTCCCCAGAGCAGCAAGGTTCAATAGGAAAATAATGTGAGCCACAAATGCAAACCACATATGTAATTTGAAATTTTCTAGTAGGTACATTAACAAAAAAAGTAAAAAGAAACTGGTGAAATTCTTATATATATTATTTAACCCAGTATACCTCGAATATTAGCATTTCAACATATAATCAATATAAAAATATATTAATATGAGGTATTAAATTATTATTTTATTTTTCTGTCAGGAAACATTGTTGCTCTGAGTTTAAGAATTTTCACTGACAGAAAATCAGCACTTTCAGAAAATCTCTCACATAGCCCTGCGTGGCTTCTGAATCTTAATTTTTGTAGAAATATCAACATATTTCTCTTCAGTACAGTCATTCCATCCATGATTGATGGATCAGTCTTAACCTCCTATTTCTTTCTTTCTTTCTTTTTTTTAAAGATTTTATTTATTTATTTATTGGAGAGCGAGCGAGAGAGAAACAGCATGAGAGAGGAGAGGGTCAGAGGGAGAAGCAGGCTCCCCGCCGAGCAGGGAGCCCGATGCGCGACTCAATCCCGGGACTCCAGGATCATGGCCTGAGCCGAAGGCAGTCGCTTAACCGACTGAGCCACCCAGGTGCCCTTAACCTCCTATTTCTGTACTTGGCTTTGACTTATGAAGCTCTTCAGGACTGTTTTTAATTCAGAAAGAGTGACTTTGTCTAAAGGAGATGCAGTGGTAACTATGCAAGGTCGTTTTTTACAGTGGACACTCATCATTAATATTAATGAGATATTTTAAGTTCTTTTGTTTTAATTCTAAGTCTTTGAAATGCACTGTTACACTTATAGCATACCTCAACTCAGACCGGATGTATTTCACATGCTCAATAACCACATGTGGCTAAATGGCTGCTGTATTTGACAAACATGGTCCTAGATGATCTTATCCAAGCCCTTAACTTAAAATACCATCTATATGCTATTCTCAAATTTATATTTCTTGCTTGGACCTGTCTCCTGAACTCCAGACTCAGAGGGTCTATGTGACATCAATTCTTGGATACCTAAAATGTGTCTCTAACTTATGTCCAAAATTGAACTCTTGGTCTCCTCCGAATTTGCTCTTCCCCATCTCAGTTACTGGCAACTCCACCAATTGCTCAGGCCAAAAACATTAGACTCAACCTTGACTCCTCTCTGTCTCAAACTTCACATATAACATACAACTACTGTGGTATTATTAGTTGCATGTGCAAGACTCTGATTCACTACCACTACCATGGTCCAAACTCCCATTATCTCTGTCTGGGTTATTGCAATAGCATCCAGAGTGATCCCCCACAGGTGTCATCATAGCAGCAGATATCCTTTCACAACATAAACCAGATCATGTTACTTATCTGCTTAACATTCTCCAATGGCTCCCTGTCTAACTAAGAGTGAAAGCCAAAGTCCTTCTAATGACCTTCAAAACTCTATAGGATCTGGCCTCCTATTACTTCTCTGACTTCATCTCCTACTATTCTCCGTCCTCAGTGTACTGTAGCCACCTTTACGTCCTGCTTTTTCTTTAACATGACAGTCATATTCTAGCTTCAGGGCCCTTAGACTTGCTATACCCTCGCTTATCCCCATGGCTCATTCTCTCATATCTTTCAAGTCTTTGCTCAAGTATCTTGTCAGGGAATAAATGAATGACATGACATGAATTTGTGCCATAAGGAGGCATCAGAGCACAAGTGCCACATGCCTTTCTAACAGAAGTCAACACACAATTAACTTTCAACATTTATTGAGCATCTATTATATATAAAACAGGTGTCTATGATTGGTCTGTCTTAGTGAAGGGAAAGGTTGAAATAATCTTGTTGCTTTAGAAGGTTTTTGAACATTTTTAGTACATAATGGAACAAACAGCTGACTTCCTTAGTCATTGAGAAAGCAGTATCTATTAACAAACAAATACCTTGTTAGATAACTTAGGGCTTCCTCCTTTTGGCAACCAGAATCTAGAAACACAATCCCTTAATCCATGCAGTATTTAAATCACTGCAATATTAGAACACCTGGTTGTAGTCCTACTTTGACTCTTAGCTTAGTGGGTGACTAAATAAATCACTTCTCCTTTTACTGGCTCAATTCTTTTATTCCTATGATAAAATGTCTAATCTCATCTATTGCCGAATTCAGGTTAAGGTAACAGGTCAGTATATACTTGGGTGTTACAACTGGCACAAATATGTATGCATTGTGGAATTTGAGAATAAAAAGTCTTTTTAGGGGCGCCTGGGTGGCTCAGTCGTTAAGCGACTGCCTTCAGCTCAGGTCATGATCCCAAGGTCCTGGGATCAAGCCCCGCATCGGGCTTCCTGCTCCGCGGGAAGCCTGCTTCTCCCTCTCCCACTCCCCCTGCTTGTGTTCCCTCTCTCGCTGTGTCTCTCTCTGTAAAATAAATAAATAAAATCTTTAAAAAATAAAAAAAAAATAAGTCTTTTTAAAATCTAAGAATTTATAAATCAGAGCTATTTAAACCTAGTCTTCAGGTAGTGGTAGACTTTAGATCTTTAGTCTTTTCATTTTTCAACCTTATTTTCACTAGCGTGACCAATTCTATGATTGAACTCATAGCTTATTTTAGTTCACATCTGCTAGAGTCCAACCTACCTCAAAACAGAGAAACATGATCGGCCTGAGTAATCAACCTGAGACATTAACATGTGTAGCTCACCTCAGAAATGGATTTGAGAGTAAGAGAGTGGGGAGAAAAAAGGTAGTATTGAAGGAAGAGACAAAAATTATTAAAATGGCTTAATTCAATCTAACACGTTTATTGGGTGCAAAGCACTATGGTAGTCATTTTTAGTAATGCCAAAATAAGCAAGACAGTCACCGCCATCAAGGACTCTAGAGTATAAGGTGAACTAAGAAGTGGTGCATAAATTACTAAAATATACAGAGTACATAAAGGAAATACGAGAAGAGAAAAAAAACACCATTAATTAAGGACATTTTAGTACGTCAGAGGCAGTCACATATATTGACTCACATATATTAACAGCCCTTTCAAAACTTCCAGGTAAGCTGAGGGAGGACAGGTAACTTGTTCAAGGTCATTCAAGCTAGAAAGTGTATACTGGCTTTTGTCCCCAACCCAGGTTCCAAAGCCTACCCTCCTTTCAGGACATCATTGCTAAGAGGGAGATCCAAGGAGGAGTGGAAGGGGATTAAGTTATGAACGGATACTCCTAACTGCGGTGGAGGCAACAAAGAGATCAGAAAAGCTGTTTGGGGCGGCTTGTGAGGTGGGCCTTGAAGGATGAATCGGAGATTGGCCGGGCCGATGTGGGGAAAAGGGAGCGACTTTGAGCGAAAGAAGTACTGAGAGCTGCTGGCTCATCTCCCAGTTCTTCGACTGGAGGAGTCGATCTGGGTTGAAAAACTAACGTCCGGTGGGTCTTTTCCTTTGGGCTTTTCATCAGTCACCAACTTCGCCGTTAGGAATATATTATTTTTGTAACTTGAAAAATCTCAATGTTTTAAAAGCGACCACTGAGTCCCTTGCACGGTGGGCGGAATCCTGCCGGCACCCCTGGCACACCCCCTCTTTCCGAGCTCCTCAGCCACGCCACCACCTGGGGAGCGTTCGTCCCCGAGGAAGGGCGCTCACCCTCGTGGGCTTCTCGCCTGCGGGAGCCCGGGTCCGAGGCAGGGTCCAGGCCGGGGTAGCCCGGGCAGAGGCGCGCGGGCCCAGCGGGGGCGGGGCGGCGCGCGGGGCGGGGCCGCGAGCGCACCTGCCCGGGGCGGCGGGGCTCGCGGCGTCTGCGCGGACCGACGTGCCCCCCCCCCCGCTCCCGCCTTGCCGTGTGTTTACGTGGAGACGAAGATGGCGGCGGCGGTGACGGCGTTGCCCGTGCGGCTGAGGACGGTCAGCCAGTGAGCGCGGAGACTGGTTCCACGCCGGGCGGGGGGGAGCGCCAGGCCCGGCCCTGCTCCTTAGGCGGCGGATCTTGCGGTCCCACCTCTATCGGAATCGACCTTTCCTTTTTACCCCCGACCCTCTCCCTGTCTTCCCCCAGCTTTCCCTTCAGAGGCCATGGAGGACGAGGAGAGACAGAAGAAACTGGAGGCCGGCAAAGCGAAGGTAAGAGAGCCGGAGGCTGTTGGGCCCGCGGTGGGAGGTGGTGGCTGGAAAGGGGTGGGAGAGGGCCTGGCAAACGGAGATCGCAGGAGCTCGGTTCCCTGCCCGGGAGGGAGGGGCTGCAGGACCTGAATTTTCCCCTTGCCCTCTACTCTCCTTTTTCCAATTGAAAAAGCCTGGTGGTGTTACTACCTAGCAGATGATACTTCCGTGATGATTGGGTGGTGTGGCTTCTTTCTTGTGAATGCTCAAATAAAACCCTTCCTTTACCGTATAGCTATAAGCTGGTATTTATTGGTTCTAAATCTCCAGCCTTTCGCTGTTTTAGGGAGTTTCCTGGGTAGTGCAGGCATTGTGCTTTTCAGGGTGGGGATTTAGGGCTTTTCTTTATTTGGTGGGGGATTTGTACGCCGATCATCAGCTTAGCTTTCTCTGGTGGCACGCTGGCACTGTTGTGTATGTGATTGGCCTGTGACAGCTGCCTTAGCGGTGGCTTGAGTGTGCCACAAGTGCCAGCTGTGAAGTTCGCCTTAGGGGCGTTTTAGAAGCATAGCTTTATATGTTTGTGTTTGGAGGTCTTTGTCATGGCATGCGCTTTTGTATTGTGTGGAATGTTAGTGCAGTCTGTGAATGGAACGGCGGGGGACGAAAGGTACCGTATTCTAAGCCATCTATGGAATTCCTGCTTCAAATAATTGAATTGTTATATATGTCTCAGAGAGTCCCTATTTTATGCCTGCGTGAAAGAAAAACTGTAAAGCAAACAGTACAAGACTATAAGCAGGTATTACTCACTGGGCTTCGTGAAAAATTTGATATAGACAAGGTATAAATTAAATAGCGTACTTCTTTTAAAAATTACATATTCGAGCATATCTTCTAGCTGGTCTCAAAGGCCCCCTTCCTCCGTTATGACGACGTTACCTTTTATAGATTATATTCTGCCTTATTAGAGATAATTGTTAGCAATCATACTTGGACCACGATTAAATTATAATATAGTTAACTGTTTTTCTTTCTTCCTCTCCTTTGCTCCCTCCAAATAAAACAAAGGAGGCGGGCTCCATGATTTCAGTAATCATTGAAGGGCCATACTGTAGAGATGCCACAGTAGATGCTCAACACAAGTTTCTTAGATGAGTATGCATATAAACTAGCTTCATATTTCTGAAGTACAGTTGGCTTTCCCATAAGTCCCTTCTATCTAAGATCAAAGCTTGAGTGCTTTTATATTACCTGGTAGATTATTACTTTAAAATCTGTAAATGGTGGAAAAGGGGAAGCAAGACCTCTTCAGAAGCCCAAAGTTGATTATATTTCTGTAACCTGAGGGTCTGAGCAAGCTCTGAATCCAAGAAGGTGGAGGTAAAGTGTGTGCCTCCTTTGGAAACCATTGATCTTCTAGTTAGACATTTTGTTTCTTAATTCAGAGTTTGTATTGCCTGTCCCCAGAAGTATGTTTCCTAAAGATAATGCATGAAGCAGTCCTACAAAATATTCTTTACTTTGGATGATACATATCATATCAGAGGATTTATTTAAATTGATTTGGCCAAAAAAAAATTCTATTTTCTTTGTGTGTATGTGTGTTTTTGTCTGTCCTTCAAAACTCTGCCTTTGGGGTGAAAATTTTTTTCTTTTGATATTCACTTTTATTGTAGAAGATTATCGTCTTCTAGAGTTGAGCCCAATTTTTCTAGTCAGAAATAAATCTGTCAGATTTATAAGGCAAGATATGTTTGCTGGAACATTAGCTGTACAATCTAAAAACACTGGAAACAACACTCAGAGAATATTAGAATAATTATTTTCTAAACCGTATCATGTAAGTGCAATGGAATATTATGCAGTCACTAAGATTATGAAGACCAATATGAATATGAGAAATAGAATGAAAATTGCATCATTAAAATTAGTGTATACATTATTCCATTTGTTTAAACTTGTGTGCTTTTAGATTAAGACTTAAAAAATTTGTAAAGTCATTCAGCAAACCTTTGTTGAACTGTTTTATACCAAAAGTTGGAAATTCAGAGGTGGTGTCAGTCTCTTTTCTCAAGTTGCTCACAGTTTAGTGGGAGAGACTAGACACTGGGTAGTAAGTACAATGAGAGAGGAGGTACAGTAGGATTTGGGGTGAATTTTTTTCATTTGTAAAAGTGCATTAAATACTGCTACCTTGTTTTTGAGACTACAAAGAAGGCTCTTGATGTTAAGGCAGCCAATCATGGTGCCTACCATATAAAATACTTGCTTAATGAATGAATGAGCAGAATGACTATAGTCGTTTGTAGGTACTACTTTACTAGAATATTGTAATTTAATAGCAGTAATCCAGAATTCTCTTAATTGAAAGTCTGTTATTGCTGGCATCAGAAATCACTTAAACTGATCATTTCTTTTTTTTTTTTAGATTTATTAATTTATTTATTTCACAGAGAGAGACAGCAAGAGCCGGAACGCAAGCAGGGGGAGTGGGAGAGGGAGAAGCAGGCTTCCCGCAGAGCAGGGAGCCCGATGTGGGGCTCGATCCCAGGACTCTGGGATCATGAACTGAGCCAAAGGCAAATGCTTAACGACTGAGCCACCCAGGCGCCCCTAAACTGATAATTTGTAAAACTTATTTAGAAACTTGGCTTTCTGAATGTCTTATTTGTTCATTGAACTTAAATATTGTATTTGATAATCTGATTTTATGAACCATAACTTTTTAATTTTTTTCGTGGTGTTTGGTAAGCTGATCGTTGAAAAATTTCCTTTCTGTATCTAGATTTTATAAATGATTATTTTTTATGGCTTGTTTGCAGTACAGTATGCTTTATAAAATAGCAACCAAAATCTGCAATGATAGAATAAATTCTGGTATATGTAGCCATTAAGATAGTGCTATAAAGACTTTTTGAGTTGGGAAAATGTCCACAAATAATGTCAGGTTAATAAAAATGTTATCATATAAAGTATATGTACATATATATGAAGACACCTGGAAAAAATGCACTAAGATGTAAATGATGGCTATCTCTGGGTGCTGGGTTATTGGCAATTTTAATTTTCTTTACACTTTAGTATTCTCCAAATTCTCTATAATATTTCTTTTAGGATCAGTAAAAAAATGCTTAAAAATCATTTTTAAATACAGTAAAAGCTTATCAAATACAGCAGGATGAAGAACTCATCCTACTGTATGGTTATTATAGAGAATAAAAAAATGAGGCACAGAAAAGGTAGGTTTCCTAAAGGCCCTCACTTTGGTATAGTTCTGCAACTAATTCTTAATTCCAGTGTTGCTTATATTACATAGTTGGGAGAGCCTGTATTATTAGACTTGCATAGACTTCTTTTCTGTTTTGTAATTCTTTTTTCCTTTTTGTCTGTTCTCAATGCCATGGTCATACTTGTCTTGCCTTGCTCCATCTCATCTGCCTCTTTCCCTAATTTGCTGTTTGAGATTTGCTGTGACTACAAAACTCAGTGAGTTTGATAGAATGGTTTATAAAAATCAGAGCCAGTGGAGGCCAGTGAGTGGGCTTTATGATAGTTCAGTTTTTCTACTTGTTGGTTTTTTGGTTGCTGTTGAGTCCTCAGCTACTTCCTCAGTGTTAATATAGCAAGAAGCCTGACCCATGGAGATGTGAGACATTACTGCATTATTAAGTAAATATTTTCAGAGCTGGGCTAATCCCATTTACAAGGTGCTGATGGGGATGGCACTACATAGGCTGTCTTTGTGTTAAACTACTTTTAAATGACTTCATTTTTCTCCAAGTGAAATTATTTACACTGTTATATAAAGGAAGTATTGTAATATTAGTGAACAAAATTAGAGGACAGTTGGGTATTTAGTATTAATTAATGTTACTACTATAAATTCACATTGGGTATACTTAACATTCTATTCATGTAGCAGAATTCAGTAAAACCAAAGTTTTGTACCAGCTATTCAGCATTGTATATATTTGGCATTATTTGTTGAATAATCATTAAAAATTTTGCCTATTGCATTCAGTTAATTAGTAATTATATGATTTTTATTTGTTTAATGAGCATTTTCAGTTTGAAAAGCAGTGCCAGTTGTATGCAAAAAAGGACAGGACTCTATGCAAGCTGTGTATTAGGTTATTGATAGCTGGACTTTTCAATTACTGTTTATACTCTGATAGACAAAGTTACTTATGGTGCGTAATTGTTCTTTGCGTATTTCAGATACACTACACCACCACTAAGAAAGTTGCTCTTCATTCTTGTTTCTTTAAAACTTTCTAGTTGTTTGTGTGTGTGTGTGTGTTTTTGTTTTGTTTTGAGTAAGGTCTACGTGGGGCTTGAACTCACAACCTCAGGATCAAGAGTTGCATGCTCTGCCACTGAGCCAGCCCGGCACCCCAAAAACCTTGTAGTTTTTTATTCCTTATGTGTCATAGCTTACTTAGCTTCAGAGTGGATACAGCAGTTTGATACCTTTATCGTCATTTTTTTCCATCATCATTTATTCTAACCGTTGTGCATTGTGACTTAAAAATTAATTCATGACCTTCAGGCTTTGTTGAAAAACAAAACAAGACATGTTTTTTAGATTATGAGCCTTAAGAGGGATAATATGGAGAAAAGTATGGGCAGAATAGTCTTTTTAAAGTGAATAGTGAAGAAAGGTTTCTAAAGCAAATCCAAGAAGTGGCAGGAAGTGGGTGAAAGAGTGGTAAGATCTAATGAAGAGAGACTTACCAAAGAGGTCTGTGGTGTCCCATCAGTGAAAGTGAAAGTTGAATGAGCACATGGAAGAGAGGAAGTGAAAAAGATAGGATATATCCAAGTGGCTAGAATATGACAAGATTGGGCAGGAATTATTTTTAAACAAAAATACCTCTTACCTTTATATATAAGGTTTGTAGGAAGAGATAAACTATGACTGTAAAATACCTATTATAGGCTACTAATTATTGAAATGTAAGTAAATTTCTAATATGGAACTAGAAAATTTTCTCATGGTAAATTGTTAAACATTAAAT